GGTCGAAGACCACCGCATCCGGGTTGGCAACCTGGTCCTTTTTGACCCATTCCAGGCAGCACGCCACGAGGATTTCCCCGTCCGACTGCACTGGTGCAAATCCAAGGTCATGCAAAATCAACTGGACCGCGGTTGGGACCCCTAGGAAGGTCGTTCCAAACGGGGAAGGGAGGCGGGGCCTCCACATCATCATGATCCACTCGAGCCCGGAGCCAAATCTCAAGGCGCCTTGCACGCACTTCAAAAGAGAGACCCGGGAAAAGGCCCCGGGGAGCCCCAAGTCCTCTTCCGGGTCTCTCTTTCACTCAATGCATGCGGCAGATCGCTTCTTGGACGGGTCCGGGGTCTTTTCGCGAAGCCGGACGTTGGAGGCCCACATCCACTCCGGAAAGTGAAACCCGGGCGGCCCCAAAAACCCCGGAAAGCCAAACCCGAAAACGGGGGGGGGGGGACCCGGGGAGCCTCCACGGAAAGGGAAAACCAAACGAGGGGGGGGGGGGAGCCCAGGCGCACTCCGGACCAGCCCAAGCGCGCCCCTTTTTCTCGCCTGGTGCAGGCCAAGGCCTGTGCTGTGCCCGGGGGGGATATCAGCGCCATCGGCAGCTGTCCTCCCCCGGGGTGCCCTGCAATTCCGTTCCGGATGGCCGCAGTGTTGCATGATCACACGGCCCCCTTGGCAATGTCGTCAATGCGCTTGAGCGCCGCCGCCTCCGGGTTCCGGAGAATCAGCTCCCAGATGGCATCTGAGACATGGCCGGTCTGGGTGACGTGGCTGAACCTAAATCGTGGGACTTTCTGGTCCACCACGGAGACATCCCGCAGCGGGGCAGACGGCTCTACCCGGCGGTAGAACTCCAGCCGTTCCTTGACCCAGCGGTTGTACAGTCCATCGGGCGGCTCGTCCAGCACCAGCTGAAGGATGGCCTTGCCGGCCCGGATCTGGAGGAGGCGAGTGCCCCCTCCCCCGGCGCGCCAGTACCCCTTGCAGTACTTGCACATATAGCCCCCCCGGGTTTCCCCCTTCGTCTTGGGGATGAGCTCCCATGGGGTGACTGAGCTCAGAACCAGGCCGCACTCCATGTGCGCCCAGAAGACGTGCTTCGTCTCTGCCGAGAAGTTCTTCTTCTTGTACTCCTTGCCCACCACGCCGTGGACGTTGTCCGATGTGATGGGGGGGTAGACGATCCCCTCATCGCCCTCTCCTCCCCTGGGGCGGATGTCAGGGCCATCGGCACCTGTCCGGCACCCGGGGGCGGAGGGGTCCAGGCCCATCAGCTTGATCATGTCGTTGGTGTAGCCAAGCTTGCGGTAGATGGAGGGGGCCACTGAGTCGGGGACTGCGCCGACCCACCACTGCTTCGTGTTGCAGCGCCAGTTGACTTTCACCTCCGCCAGGGCCCCCGGGCCTCCAATGCGGTCCATGAGGGCCTGGTACACCTCTGGGAACTGCTGGAGACTCTCCACCGGGACCGATATGCGCTCATCACATACCGCCCGGAGGATCATCTGTTCCTTGGAGTCCGCCACGTCCTGGACCGGGAGCTGCATTACCTCCGCCGGGGTGTCCGTGAGGAAGGCCCGGGCCGCAAGGACCTTGCCCATGGCCCGGTAGACCAGGCGCCACTCCGGTCCTGTCTGCGGAAGCGGAAGGCCCTCCTCCTTCAGGAAGCACCGAGCATCTTCCTTCAGGGTCTCCCAGCCTTCCAGGCGGATCTGATTCTGGGCCTTGTTCTTCGGGCCCCGCTGTCTAGGGCCCTGAAGCAATGGCAGAGACTCCCAGACTCCCCAGAGCTGGCGCAGAGTGAAGCTGTGACCAAACATCCCCAGCAAGCCTGGGAGTGTCCAGGACGAGATCTGGCGCGCCCAGTGGAAGTCCTCCTCCGGATCGTGGGGGGCCGCCCAGAAGATGGATCGCAGGTCCTCGGGGTATGGTCGGTCCCCCGCCTTGGCCTGCTGGTTCAGCTCCTCAACGGAGTACCTGGCCCATGGGAGTCCACCCGCCTGGTGGTTCCTGGGATGCGTACCCTTTTCCAGCGCCTCCGGATTCACCTTGGTGAGGTTGTTGGCCCAGTCCGGGACGTGTACGGGCCCCGGTCGTCGGACCCAGCGGCCCGCAAAGATGCGGACCTCTCCGACACGCTTGCTCATCATCCAGCGCAGGACCGCGAGCTGCACCTCCGGGTCCTGGGTGTCCAGGCCCCCCGGGGTGGCGGACGGCTTGTCAGGGCCCTCGGCACCTGAGCTCGTCGCACCAGAGCCCGAAGCTGGGGGGATGGTGGGCTGCCTGTCAGGGCCCTCGGCACCTGGGCGCGCCGCACCAGAGCCCCCCGCCTTTGGAATGGGGATCCCCGCCAGATCCGGCAGATCTGCCAGGAGGGCCCCCGGAAAGGGGTTCCTACCCAGCGAGATGACCGCCTTGGCTTCGAGGTAGGAGTCCGTGAGGGACGTGAGGTCGTCCATGCTGAAATCCCTCCATGCCGTGGTCGGCTCAAAGACCCCTGTCTCAATGGCAACTCGGACCTCGCTAGGCCACGCACTGAATGGAGGCTTGATGGGCTCGAGCATTCTGGTCTCGAGGGCGCCCTTCGCTTGTCTGGCCTGGTGCTTTGCCTTCGCCTCTTCCGCAGTGGTCTGGGCCTGGAGGAGCTCCGGTGTGGGCCTCCCCCAGTCCGCGCCCAGCTTATCCAGCAGTTTCTCGCGGAAAAGGTCCAAGTCCAAATTCTTGAGGAGTTGTCCCCCATCGCCTCCTCCATCGATGGCCCCTCCTTGGAGCTCGTGGAGGACCGCCGCAGATCGCTCCACCGCTGCCACCTGGTCTGCCTTCTTTGCCTCTTCCTGGGCGATGGTGGTGGCGTTGAGCCGGGTCTGGATTTTGAAGGCCTTCACTGCCGACGGGTGGAAGGCCCTGCACTCCTGGCCCTCTTCCTTGTCGCCCGGCAACGGGGGCCTTTCCCCCATTGGGGCCGTCAGGAAATCCTCGTCCAGCTCCATGGGGCAGTTCCTGATCACCGCCCGGACCGAGGAGGGGACAAAATCCGAGAAGCTGGCCTGGTCCAGGTTCTCGCATGCCATTGGGTCGGTGGCCAGCTCGCTGACATCCACCGAGGCGCTGAGCTTGAGGTCGCGGGCCCGGTCCGTGTCAGGGCCATCGGCACCTGCGGACCGGGCCGCCGTCCAGACCGCATTGCCCTGGTCATCCACTGTCAGCTGCCAGTGCGTGCCCGCCATTTCCAGGGTGGCCAAGTTGGACGCCGTGTCGATGGGCTCCGTCTTTTTGCCGCACCCCATACACTTCCTGGCGCCCTTCTTCACCCAGGGCATGGTGCAGCAGGGGCAGATCCAGGATGTGGGCTCCTTACCCAGGGGGCGGTTCTCAAGGCCCCCATACCCCAGGCCAGCGCGCTTGCCAACCTTCTGTCCCGGGGTGCTGAGCAGGGCCTCATGCTCATACTTCATCTTGGCGATGTAGAACGCCTCCACCACGCGCTCCAGGCCCCCCTGCTTGAGTTGGGGGCCCTCAAAGCCTCTCAAGAGCCGCTGGACATCCTTGGCCTGCAGTCGTCGGAGCCTGGCGGCCGTGGTCCCATCAAAACACGGGAAGTCGCCCGCCATCTGGTCCGCACTGAATTGGTAAAGGCCCTCAGAGACTTTGAGGGCCTTGGTGAAGACGCTTCCCCCTGGCGGGGGGGCTGCGGGGTCCTCATCCCCCTCCGAGGACACCTGCGCCCTGGCCTTTTCCATAAGGTCCTGGCGTCCCTGCCACTTGGTGTCGGACATCGGGGGGTCCACCTCATCTTCCGCCAGGGGTTCCTCCATCGGGGGCTCCTCCTCGTCTTCCGCCAGGAGTTCCTCCATGGGAACATCCGGCTCTGGAGGGTCGAGAAGCTCCAGGAACGCCCCTGGGGGGCGTGTCAGGGCCTTCGGCACCTGCGCCACCCCAGGGGGGGAGTCCGCCATCAGCTCGTCCTCGGCCTTACGCTTGGCTGGGATGAGTGGGGCTTGCTCCAGCTCGTCGGCGCTGGAGAAGAACCGTTCGTCCGGTGCCTGAGGGACCTCAGCCGCCAGGACGGTCCAACCTTCTTCCTCCTTTTTCACAAGGCTTGCCAGGTACTTCGCCATGGATGCCTTCGCCTTCGCCTTAGCCTCTGCAACCGCGGCACCAGCATAGGCGGGGGTGTACATGGCTTTGATAGGAGGGGAATGAGAAATTTCAGATTCCAAGACAAAAGGGAAGTGTCCACTTGAGCCAAAATGGTGGCCCAAGTGGATACTTACAAAGAGTCAAGACAAGCGACCACCTACGGTTAACACTTTAGCCCAAAATCCAAAGCCGAAAAGACCCCGTGGGACTCGGAGACGGCATCGATCAGCTCACCGGAAAAAAGAAAAATGGCCAAGGACTTAGATGGATTAGCTTTACTTCTTTTTGCAAGCTTCAAGACCATCCATTTCAGATGGTCCAGGAAGAAGGTGTCGAAGCAGTTACCAAACAGCTGGAACTTCAAGGAAACCTCTTTGGAGCGCAACCTGTGCATTAAGAAGATCCGCATCTGCGCAAATTCAGGAGTCATGGACGGAACGCACAAAGGTCTCTGAAGGAGACTCTGGTCCTGCAAGAAACCGATGTGTTTTTTGGGTCCCTTCTGCTCATGCCAATCAAGAGCATTTTTTTGCAGGCTGATGTATTGCCTTACGAGTTGTGTTGGCCGTGTATTGGCCACAACCCATGGTCTTCACGGGGAATGGGTGTTGCCCTGAGGCTTCAACTGGGACCATGCTCACTTTTTGACTGATCCACACTTGTTTTTTCTTCAGATGCTCCTATTCGACCCTGTCAGATATTTGGTCCGAGGGAAACCAAAGGAAGCCAAGCAGCACCAGCCCAATCTGGTGGTCTCCTTTTGGGGAGGGCACCGTTTTTTGCTCGCGCTTTTAAAGGAAACACAGAAGGACCACCGTGGCACCGTTTCTTTTTGGGGGTGCCTTGAAAGCCGAGGTGCACTGCTGGCGCCAGACTTTGTGACGCCAGGACTTCATCAAAATCCACCAGCAGTTGGCCGCAACACCTGGGACAGGCTGGTTCTTGGCTGATTCGGAAGAAAACGCCAACACATCCCAGAGAGACCTGTACGTCTCATGGCTGGTGCTTGGACACCTCCGTTTGGTGTGCAACCAATCCCATTCGCTTCTTTTGTGGCTTGGGGAAAGTCAGCAATGACTGCACCCCTCGCAAGTCCAAAATCCGGTCGGCGGAATCCCTGGCAGCTGGGTGATGCGGAGACACTTCGCCTCTCGCCAAACAACGAGCGACTCAAACCAATTTGTGACCCTTTCTCAATCAACAAGAACGGCTCACCCATCTTCTCAACTCGCCTTTCCCTTGCTTATCGGAAACCTTCCCCGTAAAATGGGACTATGTCACATCTGAACTGGGCCGAAAAGGGCCCCTTCTGGCCGGAAACCTAAACCGGGAGGCCCCTTTTGGCCGGGCGCTTGAGGCGGTTCAGCCGCCAGGCGATGAGGCACCCATCTGCACGGTTCGGGCGTGGCGCGAAGGCAGTGCCGTAGCCCAGGCCTAATTCGTCGGCCGCAATTCACCTTACCCCGTTTGCGTTTGGGGAAGCATAGATGGCTTGAGGGGATAATAGATGGCTTAACCATAGATTGGTTGGGTTGGTTAAAGCTGGTGCAACTTGAGGTTCAAACCCCAAAAGTCAATAGACGTCCTTTTTTGGAAGATGGGCTTTCCACTTGCAGCTTGGTTATATTTGGGATGCCGTTGTAGCGTGGCGCGTTACTTTTGTACAGTGTATATACATGGTTGCCCTTTCATGGATATAGACATGTCTGTCACTCAGTTTTGGTGGGTTGGTCTTTGCCCCTCCCACCAAGAAATCAGCAGTGTTGCTAGTTACAGTACTGGTTGGAAACGCGTGCCACGCTTTGGGGGTTTGAACCCCCCTAACCTGCGTGTAGCTCCAGGAAACATAGACTGTGAGCAAATTTGTAAAGTCTCCCAGATATGCCCTTTGGGATTCGGTCATCGACGGACTGTGGAGGGTCATGGCGCTTACTTCGTATTGGCCTCCATCCTCCAACTAACCGTCAAACAGGTTGCATGTTGACATGTCTTTGTGTGCTACGTGTGGCCCTGTTTAGGTGAAACAGGGCGTCTCCGAACCTCTTCCTTTTGCAAGGGACCAACTTTCTACCCTGAAAACACAAGACAGATTTGATCCTGAAAGGGCGCTGTTATAGCCTTTTATGCAAGCAGAGAAAACACACAGAGAAGATCGTGTTGTCCAACTACATCCGGGTCCCTGTGCAAACGCTGAAAAACAATGCAAAACAAATGCCCCAAAAAGGAAGGCAGCAAGCAATGAACGAGGCCCCACCACAGACACAATTGTCAAGACAAGGAGCGTTTTGTGTCAATAGTCCATAGGGGAAACAACAACGAGCGAGTGCCTTGTGGGGTCGACTAACCACGTATATTCGGGTGTCTTCTGCGTGGCTACCTTTTTTCGATGGTTTTAAAGGACAACTAAAAGGAAAGCCGAAGCCATGTTGGGGGTCCAAACTCTAAACAAAGACACACCCATTTCTTTGTTGGGCTTCTATATGCCGGTTTTCAGGGAGGTTGCAGAAACGGCCCTTCCATTGTGTCTAGGTTTGGAGGGTAGCCTTTTTGTGAGGTCGGTTCAAAGGGAAAGAAGTCTTGAAGTCCCCATGTGACACAATACCCATGTGGCGCGTGTTCTTTGAGGTGTGCTCTGGAGTCACTTGAAGGGACGCACCAATCCTCTGGTCGGTTTGTGTTCGCGGAGCAGGGTACCCTTTTTTCTGTAGTCTATTTTAGTACGAGTAG